CACCCAACCTGCCACTGGCCTATAACTGGCTCCAGTATGCGGTCTACTGCCACCTTCACTAACCTCCCGTCGTTACATACAGTGTACACAGACTTCTTGGGGCAAGTATACTGACTTCTCTCTAGTATGACCCAAAATGCCGCAAATTGTCTCTGTTACACTGACTCAACACAACCCAAATTTGCAGCCTTCGTGACTTGAAGCCACACACTGTACTGTCTTCACCAACTCCCCACCACATACATTGACCTCCTCTATTGAACTACCGCCATCCTTTGTGATTCTGTCCTCTTCAAAGAGAAGCAAAGGAAACAAGCAGAAGTTTATCTGTTTGTCTTCTTTGCGGTGCAGCTACCGGCTTTGCCCTTTGTACATAGAGTGATGCTGCCAATCTTCGCAGCTTCTGCTCTCTTCAATGCTAAGGCGAGCACAAATCGACAAGTCAATAGACGAATTAAAAATAAAAGATAAATGAACAATGAAGCAAGCTTTCCCTTTTTATCAGATTCGAAATGTGTGAAGATGAACATTTCAACGCTTTTAGTGTTGGACACTTTTGCTCTGGACTTCTGTACGGAACCCCAAATTGTTGATGGAAGAATATATTTGCCACTTAAGTAAGCTTTACTGCTTGTTAGCTTTTTCGTAAACGACTTGCATTTTAGAAGAAAATATTTGTGTTTATTATTCGCTCTTTGGGTTAATAAGACTTATGCTTGACTCGTATACACTGCAATTACAATTTCATTTGTTTCTGTATTGTGTAGTTACTACTTACTCCTATCGAATGCTTTTACTCCGCACTACTAATTAAAATCATCTTCAAAAACTGACTTGCAGATCCCAGTGAGACCCTTCAGACATAACGAGTACGAGCGATTCCTTACAGCCGCTTTCCCCTACTACGGAGCATCCTTTTCCATGGTAATATGATCATCATCTACTTCATCTCATTCATTCCTTACGAATAAAAATATTGTTACGTTTTACAATATCATTAATTATTTTGAGGGGACATTATCATTAATTAATCCTTAACAATTGATATAATGATGTTTGATTCCAGATGACAGGTTTCTTTGTATTCTCTCTGGCATACCTTTACAACAAGTAAAAGTTTCTCGTCAAATTGAGGTAAGATAACCCAGATTCATAAGAAGATGAGTTTTGACGGAATAATAGCTTAATTAGTTCACAAACAACTTGATTTTGAGCGATTTATTACACAACCATTTTTGTTAGTGATGAAAAATGCATGTCGAGCTATTTTGCATTGAAAAGTTCTTTTTTATTGTGACTTTTTAGTTTATTTTTAACAATGAAAACGAAGGATTTGGTCTTTACTATATAAACATTTCCTCAGGCTGTGTGTGTGTGTGTGTGTGGGGGGGGGGGGGGGGGGG